GTTTGGCTACCTTTTTTTTTGGTGGTGGGGGGGGGGACAAATGCTCCAGTCTATTCGTGGGGAGCAGCACGTGCTGGGAACCGGACCCAATGTCCCATATAAGATTACACAAGCCATTTAAGATACCGTGGCCATTACCCGACTTCGACTGAGAATCAATCTGAGAACTATTGAGAACTATTGAAGAAATTCAAGAGAATCAAAAATAGGTTGAAAAACTATGAATGACTACTGGCCTCTTTTCAAATGTTCGGAACCCCTAAACTCTCAAACAAAACTCTCTAAAATTGTCCAACACTGTCTTATTCCCTGTCGGGTTCTCCTAGGCCTCACACTCCCACTCGGCTAGGTTACATAGAAACATGACTCGCCCCAACTCCGGCCAGTGTCGTCCCAACAGCAACCCTTGGTTGTCCCGTGGGATGCCCACCCCAAAGCATCCCCAGATCTCTCTACCAGGTCTCACGCACCAGCAGGTTATAGGGCAACACCCCAGCACCGGCCAGCATCGTTCTAATATCGAATAACCGCAGATCCATGAATGTACCAGTATCAAACAACCTAAAGCGACTTGCTGGAAGTCCCCAGAATCCTAAAGCATTCTTTTTTTTTAGAGCACATACAAAAAAGAATTTTGAGATACCGGGACTTCAACCCGGCTTTGTCATCACTAAGGTCCTATAAATGCTCAAAACCCTCGGAATCCCTAGCAAATCCTTCTAAAAATCTCCAACAGTATCTTACTCCCTACCGAGCTCTTCTAGGTCTCACACCCCCACCCGCTCGGGTTACAGGGCAACACAGCTCACCCCAGCTCATCCCAGCAGTAACCCTTAGTTGTCCCTTTAAATGCCCACCCCAAAGCATTCCCAGATCTCTTTACCAGGCCTCACACTCCTGCATCAGCAGGTTACAGGGCAACACCCCAGAACAGACCAGCGTCGTTCTGGCATCGGACAACCGCAGATCACTAAGTAAAACAGTAATGAAGCCTCATAAAATAAGTTGCTAGGGGTCCCCAAAATCATAAAACATTCGTAAGACCACTTTTTTATTATTATTATAAAGATTTGATCACGAAAATATTCGGACCGAAAACCATCTACCTTTAGCAAACCAGCAGCTGAACCCTATCCGCCTCTCTCTTATACCCCGATACCCCATCTCTACCAAGCCTCCCACCCCCAACTGCTAGGTTACAGAGCGGCACGACCCACCCCAGAAATCCCCACACCTGCTAGGTTACAGGGCAAAATGACCCGCCCCGGCTCCGGCCAGCGTCGACTAAGTATCAGTTCCCCAATAGACACTAGAGTGCCTTCCACCCTCGAGAACTCCCCAGATCTCTCTACCCGGTTTCTTGTTCCCGTACCGCTCGGGTTACAGGGCAGCACAACCAAATCCCAGCACCGACCAACATCGTTCTGACCTCGTCCATTCGCGAACCACTGGGACCAAAGACATCAACAAATACCAGACAAGCCACCAATCATTGCCACAATTGTAGTTCCGATCATCCTATCTTTCAAGCACTAGCTGCAAACGTCCAACGAAACCTTCTCAACCTTACTACGGCAAGACTTACCGCGGTAGAGCCACCATCTCCACCGTTGTTGTACCCTATTTCCGCCCTACTAGCTAGCCTCTTCGCCGCAAAGCGTTTTATCTCCAACCATCACCGAAAGCACAATCCACTGCAACCAGCACCACAATTATGTCGAATTTTACAGTTGAAACCTCAAAAAACAAAAAGAATTCAAAGAACACAGATACACACGCAGTAATCATAACCTAAAAAGGCAATCAACACCTATTATTTCCACAGGGAGAGAAAGGACGGGAGGGGAATTACTTATTTCCCCATGGAAATTTCTGCGCCTATTCACGTCTCAGTTGAATATAAAAGAGCTCACAAGAAACTGCTTACTCCTCCTCCCAAAAAAACAAGCTTCTGTCCTTTCGCTGCCTCCGCTGGAAAGAGCTCCGTCACCTCCCAGCCCCAGTTCAGAACAACCCTTAATTCACTCCCGCTCCCTCAGCAGCATGCAATACCCCCTAGAGCATGCCCTCACAGAGCTGACGATCCCTCTTCCCTCGTGTCCTACCCCTCCAAGTGAAACACCTCTCGACCTCTCATCTTGCTAAAAACAGCACGGCCCCTTGTCCTCCCTCCCAACCTCCGTAACTGATCCGTCCCAGATCAGCCTGGCCCAAAGGAGAACAAAATCCATAATACAGCCCCTACCCTCTCAAGGATCATACCTCCCACTTAGTATAACCCTCGCAGGGAGGGACTCCAACCTTGAAGGAGATAATTCAATCAGCACCTATGAGCCCAAATCCTACAATATCACAGCTTGAAACTCGATTGTAACCAGTTTTTTTAAAATCCTTCAAACAAGTGGCATCAAATATCGAATTCAAAAAAACGAGTCCAAACTTATGCACACAAATATGGAGAACTACGTCAGATTTTGAATTAGATCAGATGGATAAACGTAGGACATCAATTCCACTTTGAGAAAATCAATTTGTAACCCTCTGTTATTCAAAATTGAGTAATTATTCACTAGGATCAGAACAAAAAAACTCTGATTACGAATTTCAGATTAGGAGTCTTGCTCAGAGAATACGAATTTGAGATTAAGAATCCTGCTCAGAAAATACGGATTTCATATAGAGGATCTTGCTTAGAATCAGAAAAACAGATTTCATATTAGGGTAAGAAAAAACGAATTTCAGATTACGGATCAATTACATCTAGAAAACACCGACGATCTCATGAATCAGATTTTAAACAAGGCACAATCATAACAACGAAATCATTCAAAAACAACCTTTGAAAAAATTCCCTGATCATGCCAGCATCAGAATGCATCATCATCAGAAAAATCCAGATCATGTTTTTCGACAAAAAAACAAGCACTCAGTAGGGATTTTATAGGCTTGTAATCAAAAGGAAATTAGCACCTCAACCATCATTCTTGTCACTTAGTAAAAACAACGGACAATCTACATAATTCCTTACCAACCCTAATTCCTCCCCCCCACACATGCCAGTGTCATGTTCTCTCTCTCTCCCACCTCCACCTCCTCCTTCACCGACTTCAAAAGCATCTCAGCTGCTCGTGACCTGCATCACATCTAACCAAAAAGCTGAACGATGAAGATTGTCGGACCATGGCCAAAACTTACCACAACACAGCCACGTAGCGAGCCCAAACCGCCGAGCCCGTCGACGACCCCTCGCTGACAGTGCGGAGGGAGAAAGAACATCCATGGCGGCAGAAACCTACTCGATCCGCCATCTCTCGTAGCCCGCCATTCAAATCTTTACCAAGAGCAGACCTGCCACAAAACGAGCGAAAAAATCTCGCGCTGCTGGTCCTTGCCATCACGCGCCCACACCGTACTGACGAATCGCGAGTCCCATGAGGCGCCACCACCCACCCCTACCCCGTCCCGTCATCCTCCATCACACCCTGTCACCATCAACCCCGCCCTCTTCCCCCACGCCTCGCCGCTCGTTGCTGCTCCCCATCACCGCTCGTCGCCACGCCCTGCCATCCCGCGCCTCGTGCTTTCGCCCACCATGCCACCTACGACGCCTGGCTTCTCTGTGGCACACCGAGGGGATTGTACTGGTGTCGGCGGGGCGCAGCGCTCCCGGCCGCGCTGCGCCCAGTCCGTCCCCTGCCAGCCCACCTGGGTTTGGCTACCTTGGTGTCGGTACGGACCAAGAAAAATAGGGCAGATAGAAATAGGGCCTCGCAACATTCTACGTATCTGTACTTAATTACACTTCATATACATTCGACATTTCAAATGTATTTGGACCGCGTACAGTGAGAATGTTATGTGGTGGAACCAGGCCCACATAGAACTGGGTAGAGAGCAAGCGGCCTAGCTTAGTTGGTTGGCTTGCTCCCCCCGATTGGTATTGGTAGGATCTTTGGTGTGTGTGTGGATTGCGTGTGGTCTGTGCTGGCCATAGATACTGCTGCTACTCCATGGCCGCGGGGGAAGTAGATGGGAGGCACAACTACTGGCAAAATGCTCGGTCTTTGCATTAGCTGGGCCCCGCACTGGTGGCCCCACCCTACTCCACAACCACCGGGCGGGGGGCAACGTGCATCCCCTTAATTGTGAGAGGTAGCTACGCTTGCCCTGGTCCCCTGTATAGGCTTAGGTAGGTAGTGAAAGGTGAAATTGAGAGACGAATATAAAGGGGGAGTTAGGAAAAAGGGAAAAAAGGAACTGGGCAGAGCCTTGGGGCCCATACGGCCAAATTGTGCACACACGTAGGGCCTCGGCGCACCACTCTCGAAATGACAAAAATGTGGCGGGTGCATGTGGCCATGCTCTAGGGGGAAGTTCATTCTCATTTTGCACATTTCTCGAGTGATGTGACGATGCCCGTAAACTGTTAGTAAACAGACGGCCTCGCCGTATTACCCACCTGATGTGCGACATCAGAACGTGCCTCGCCGCACCACTCACCAAATGCACAAAATTCAAAATTTATGACGATGTATCTGTGCAAGTTCTAGCGGGAATCTCACTCTCTTTTGCACATTTGGTGAGTGGTGCCGCGACGGCGAATATCCCCGTAGAACGTAGGAAGATACGCACGCCATAGTTTTGTCTTTTTCACATTTGGGGCCTCGCTGCACTACTCTTGAAATGCACAAAAGACAAAAATCATGGCGGTGCATCTTTCCATATTCTTGCGGAGGATTCACTCTCGTTTTGCACATTGCAAGAGTAGTGCAGCGAGGCCCTTGGTGAGTGTTGCGGCGAGGCCCAGATCGTGAGTTCGAAGGCGGAAAATAAAAATGACAGCAATGCTATCGCGGACCGGCGTCGCTTCGCTTGACTGTCCCCGCGGCTTTGTTACGACTGCTGACGGTCTCAATGGGATGGTGAAATCAAGTTTCGATGGCATCTTGAAATTTGAAACGTTGTGAAACGTAGGCAACTCAGTGAGACGGTCGCTGTCAGGGGGGTTCTCTGACAAGGGCATACGTTGTTGGGAGAAGATGCCACCGCTCCAAAAAAAAAAAAAAAAAAAAAAAAAAAGGAAGATGCCACCGACGTTGTGCGAGAGCCCTCATATTTGGGAGACGACTCCCGCCTCTCCTTTCCCTCTGTTTGTCGCAGAGAATCAGCGCTCACTTGATAGCCCGCACATCACGGGCCGCCTAATATCCTACTCCGAAGTGTGAGGGCTTCCACCAAAGAGAGAGAGAGAGAGAGAGAGAGGCGCGTGTCTTGCCCACATGCCATGATGGAAGCGAGGTCCGTGGTGAGGTGGGTAACGTGGTGGGTAACATTTTTTGTCGTTTTCAGTCTGTAAGCGTGGCAGTGCGCAGTCGCGCGCGCGGGGTAGGCGGGGGGAGTAGGGTCGTCGGCACCGCAAATAGCGCGACTGTCGTCGCAAAGAGGTCTGCCGGGAGACTGCTATGGCGGACGTCGAGCGGCGTGGGTGTCGTGATAATGCTGATGGGACCCAACGCCGCGACGCCATCTCCGCGGCACCGCCGACATGCGCACCGCCCGAGACGATGACGGGACAGTGGGGGACGAATAGGGGAGAACGAGCAGGGGGAGGGGAAAAGAGGGAAGCGGGGATATCCGAGAGTACGCAGGGGAAAGACGTGCATACTAAGATCTGTCACCGCGAGACGTGCTGGGATAACTTTTGCTCCTCCCTGTCGAAGAAATGGCTGCGTTCTTGTCTTCAAATTGTGGCGTTGGTGTTAGCCTTGGCAGTTATACTCTACCTCCTAGCCGTTGGGCACGGTGTTATTTCCTTAGTCTGGAGCTCACCGGTAGGTTCAACGAATCAGCTCCCGGCGCCATCCCATCATCATCTCGGTGCCATCCCATCATCATCCCGGCAGCAGCCCATATCCATGGATGCGATCTGCTATCTTTGTGTTGCTTCTTTTTCTTTTTTTGCTCATCACTGTCGAGGCGATCTCCCATTCTTGTTATTCTTTCCAGATCCTTTTCATTTGTGAGGGGGGAAAGAGAAGGAGGATCGAGGTCAGTATGCGCGCCCGCGCGCCCGAGAGAGAGAGAGAGAGAGAGAGAGAGAGAGAGAGAGAGAGAGAGAGAGAGAGAGAGAGAGAGAGAGAGAGAGAGAGAGA